TTTTTTCTGTCAAGATGGGGTGCTGAGTGTACATTAATGAGAAATAAAATGAACTTTTTTGATTTTAGCAAATGGCTGCAATGAAACAAAAAGTGAAACATTTAAAGGGGTCTGAATACTTTCCGTACCCACTATAGTAAAGAGGTGCTAACTAACGGTAAAACTTCTTTAAGCAGCCTAGTCGGGAAAAAGTCTAAGAGACAGGAAGAAGGTTTAGACATAGACATTGTTAATTGGTGAAAGTCGATCATAAAAAAGCAGACTAAGTATATGCATCAGGTTTTACAGCTGGTTCTCAGGTTCCTGTGTTTGAGGATGAATCGGTACCGGTTTAGGGCAGGAGGTGATCAATTTTGTCTATAATTTTCATCATTGAAGAAGTTGATGAAGTCGCTATGAGTAGATATAGGCTATGGAAGGCTATAGAAGGCTATAAGAATGCACGGCTCACCAGTGTCAGCCTGGCTACAGAGGTTTTCTTATTGTTCTTCATCAATGATGAGTAATTTGCTGCGCTGGCATCATGGAGGGCCTTCCTATATGTTTTAAGACTTCTGCCAGTCTAACTGAGATTTTTCCAAAGTGGTGGAATGCCATATTCTTTCAAGTTTTTTGCGATGTTTGCATTGATTTGGGAGCTTGAGGTTTATACCATGGGGCTAATGTTGTTTGTTTTATCATCTTCATTTTCAGAGGGGCGATAGAGTCGCGTGTCAGTGAGCCTGAAGCACTATCAAGGAGGGAGAAAAGTTCATATTTAGGCAGTGGTGTATAAAGTACCCAAAAGCCATACTTGAGTAAAAGTAAAGATACCTTACTGGAAAATGACTCCAGTAAAAGTCACAGGCCTATTAGAATACTACTTGAGTAAACGTCTTAAAGTATCTGATATTTATTGTACTTAAGTATCAAAAGTAATTTTCTGATATTAAATGTACTTAAGTATTGAAAGTAAAAGTACAAGTAAATGCTGTTAATAAAAAAGCAAAGGGTCAGAATTTTGAGAATTATGAAGTTTATTCTTTTAAGTGCTGTGGCCACCATGACCAAGGACATGGAGCTGTGTTGACAATAATTGGGTTGGCTGTGATCCATCCAGGAGCAACAATGTTCAACATAATATATTGTACATAAGTATACTTTTGCATCTACTATGAACTTATCATCATAATTCTCCGAAAAGCAATATGACACTATGAAGGAGTCGTAACAGTGCGTTTATAAGTATGCTCATTCCAACTAGAGGATGTAGAGGGCAAATGCATAATATTGTGTTCAGCAAAAAATATCCACTTGATGCATCAGGTCAGTGTTGTGAGAAAGGACACCTGCCTTGTAAACTCCTGTGGGCCTGATTTGAACACAACAGGCAAAGGTTTTGCTCAAGCTGAATCTGCAATTGGGCGACTGCTACCATCATAACTCCATCTGATCATCCACAAAATGACTCAAATATCAAAACATGATCAATACTAAAGCAGCACCGAAAGTAACAACCCAGTCATTACTTGAACCTGAAAAATGTCCTGTTCATCTTCAAAAGAAGTTGGTTTTCGAAATTGCGAGAATTCAGTCTCGCTCTTCTTGGGCTGAAGACTAGTCCTCCGATGCTAAACAGCCTTTCACAGGCCGCTGAGGCAGGTAGAGGTGTGTTCAGCTTCACAGACAGCTTGCACACAGCTGAGAAGGATTTCCCTAATGCTAACCCTAATACTAACACTAATGCTAACCCTAATGCTGCGCTCTCGCGGCTCCTGTCAATCCTATGGTGTGGTGGCTAGCTAACGTTAAGTTAGCTAACGTTAGCCAACTAGTGCTGCAATGATTATATCTAAAATGACTCAAATCAACACAATCTCACAACTGTCAACACTTCCTCAGCTCACTAACTCGCTAGCGATCCACGGGTGTTGGTCTTCGTCACCACCGTAGTTTGTTGCGGGAGTAGCAGGTGCTTCCATTTCTGCTTCCATGATGAAATCAGTCATCGTAGAGTGGAATTATACTCATGTAGTCGCTAGCTATAGCATATAGCATCCTGGGCATCACTGGGAATCAAATAACCACGGCTTTGAGAGCACTTGTTTGCAATTGCGCATTTACGTGACTAACCAATGATTTAACTTGCAAGCTAGGACCACTGATTCACCAAACCTGCTTGCTTGCAGTCTGTGTTCCACCACAGTCCCCGACGCTGGTCTCATGATTCATTTTGTTTCTAAAGATAGATTTGATTTTGTAGCGAGTAACGAAGGTTTCAGGGGAAATGTATCGGAGTAAAAGTATCAGTTTTCTTTGCAAAATGTAGTGAAGTAAAAGTAAAAGTCAACAGAAATATAAATAGTAAAGTACAGATATCCAAAAAAACGACTTAAGTACAGTAACGAAGTATTTCTACTTCGTTACTATACACCACTGTATTTAGGAGTCCTCTGTTATATTTAGACAGCATTGAAATAATTGCAGATGGAATCACTTACTAAATCTATCTACAGTAATGTCAGATGGACTAGTCTAGAGACCTGCCTAATGGTGTGTTGTCCAGTAGAATTCAAAGGTTATAAAGTAATGGTCCGATTAGAGAATGTTCTGTGGAATGACTATTAAATGTTTAATTTGAATGCCATCAGCCAGAACCAGGTCGATTGGTTAAAACAGTGAGTGGGTTTCTGTACACTCTGACAGACAGCTAATCAAATCTAATAATGAGATAAACGCAGTACTAAGGCTAATATTATCAACGTCCACATGAATATTAAAATCACCCACAATAAGTACTTCATGTGTTTCAAGGACTAAAACTCTGAGAATTCAGACAGAAATTCAGAAAAGGGAGCAGGGGAGGTACACTATAACACTATAACACACGATAACACTATAACACGATAACACTATAACACTATAACACACGATAACACTATAACACTATAACACACGATAACACACGCTATAACACTATAACACACGATAACACTATAACACTATAACACACTATAACACACGATAACACGATAACACTAAC